TTACATCCGGGGTCACAATTTGATGGAACTATTTGATATCAATCGTGAGATAGGCGTATTTTGTAGCCTCTCAAAGCATACGAAGCAAAAGGCAGACAAGCATTAACTACACACATTGCAAGGAAAGACTTTGAAAAAGAAATACGGGGTAACTCCGACCTTAAACCTTACCCGAATAACCTTAAACCATGTAATGCAAACTCCAGATTTCCGCCCTGCGGAAACCATAAATTCATAGAGGCAAATAGACAAAGGTCAACACCGAAGAAAAAGGACAACTATAAAAGGAAAGAGTGAAGTGGTGGGTACTACGTATAAATCTGGTCAAAGCGATTTTGAGCTTGGGATATCCAGCATTCACTGCAGGCTCATCTTCATAATGCCGTCACCGGTATCTGTGCACAGTAGATTAATAAGAACACACCACTCATAGTATAAAAGCGTAAAAAAACAAAGGAAGAACGCGTACCATTCATGCCTTGAAAATTGAGCCGTTTGCCCCCCCCGTTCGCTCCATTGAGTGGCGGGGATGCTGCAAGAATAGGGCTATGGGAAAGCCCCGGTGATACAGCCCTGCGTTTAAAAAACTCCGGCTCAAATCTTTCGTCCTGTGTCCGTCTTCTCTTGGGACGACGCATATCGGCGGGAACACTAGCTACCGGCGAAGAAACAGTCGATTCAGAATTCATCTGGTTCTCCCACTATCAGTTCGATGCTTATACAATCTTTTGAAAAAAAGTTTCTTACCATTATATCGCCGTCAGAGGTCATTCTCAACCCAGGGAATGTTGGAGGACTTCCACCGAGCCCATCCATCTGATCACCAAACCAGAATCCACCATGCTTTTGCGCCTGTCTGGAAAAACTAATCCCAATTCCCTTGTTTCCTGTCAGACCCACATTTTCCCCACTGCTGCCCATACTTTCATCCTCTTCACGAATATCAGATAATTCCTGATCCATACTTGGCTGTGTAGGAATGGCTGTGGGGACACTCTCCTCGTCTTCTTCGCGGATCTGACGAGTAATTTCTGCCTCACGCTTAACTTCCATGTCAACCGGCGATGCCTCTTCCTGTAACGCGGCTTTGATACGTTGAAACGTTTTAGTTTTGGGCTAGTAAAAACACCAAATCGTTTAGCCATCAACTCACGGAAAATCTTATCTCGTATTAACGCCTTACCAACAGTGACCCTCGTCTTGATACGGGCCTCCTGATAGGATCAGGTCTCTTTTCATCATCGTTCCCTCTGCCCCCAACTGCCAACGAATTGCGTAAAGCTGTCGTGAGACTATCTTTCCTCCTTGCAGCCCCTTCCTTTGAACGCCCGAAATAACCAACCCCAAAGCTACTATTTTGCACGGGTGGAGTGGTTGGCGACGGGCTCGCAAGTGAACTATTAGACGCACTGGCAGATGACAAAGAGCTATGTCTTGAGCTTCTTCCAGCACGGCCACCCAATCGAGCCTTCTGGTGATTCATAAGCGATATTGAAGCGGCAGACTCCGTGCTTTGTATTGCGGGTGCAAAGGGGGTACCAAGTTCCAAATCTAAATCCACATCCAAATCCTCGTCACTTGATGAATCACTATCGTCACCAGACGGTGCATAATCCATCATTGAAGCAGACCCAAGAGAAGAAGCGTGGGATGATGAATGGTGGTAATGATGATGATTAGCAATTGGGGAATCTGATCCTTTATTATTCCGAGGTATAGGGAAGCTTGTTGAAGTTGATGGCGAAGAATCTGGTGATGGTTGTTCCGCTAGTGTGGAGTGGTGTAGCGACGTGCCTAGGTGCCGAAGCTTTGGGGTTAGCTTTAGTTCCTGCAGCATGTTGATGAAACAAAGTGGTGGGCCATACAAGCACGCGCAAAGTCGAGCCTTGGACGGCGAGCTACAGAATACCCCAGTGCAGGGTCGAGAACTGGCGATAGGGGCCCACGTGAAGGCATTTTTAGAGAGAGGGGTCCGGGAAAGCCCATTCGACGTGGGGTGAATGGCGCCTGCAGCTGGTTTGGCGTCGGCGCCGTTTGGGAATTGTCGCGTCCAGCCATATTGTTATTTGACATTGAGCTTTCAGACTTCTTGTTAGGATTCTCGGGGTCTCTGTTTAAAGGTGTGTTCTGAGGTGGGAGGTCTGATATTGAGGCTTTGAGTTGCGATGAAAGCGAAGAGGCGATGGACCTTGCACCAGCGAAAATGGAAGAGCTAGAGACTGAAGGTTGATTGTTAGCCCTTTGCATCTATTTTCCTATTACCGCTACAGGCTCTAGTGCTTCTATTGTTCTGTTGTGGTCGTTATTTTGTTGTAGGTTGAACGAATAGCGAACATTGGTTGATTGCCTGCAACCATGCGAAGTTCACCAATAATGTGGACATGAGGGGAGGTGGTTGCATCTGCCAAGGCTGGGTAACTTCACGCATAATCACTCGTATGATGAGGCCGGGTAATGAGTTATGTACTTATACATATCATTCGCCACGAGTTAGTCCTTGCACACTTCTCCTTATACTTGAAATCGATATTTACTCAACCACACACAACAGTTGTCTTGCTTCAAGCATAGCAAAGCTACCTCGATCATCATGCAAGGATTCAACATGGGGTATAGCTTTTCTACCCAAATCTATCATAGTAACCCACACTGACTGGTTATTAGGCGGTATGTCCCACCAGAACACGAAGGTGTTATATCCGGAAACAAGTTAAACAAGAAAAAACCATCGGGCTTCCATGGAAATACTCAAACAGTTCGTTTTGAAATGCCTTTCAATATTTTCTGTCTCCATTGCGATGGACATATCGCCCAAGGAGTTCGTTTCAATGCAGAGAAAAAAAAGATCGGGAAATACTATTCCACGCCAATATTCAGTTTCCGCATGAAGCATAGCGTGTGCTCAGGTTGGATAGAAATCCAGACGGATCCAAAAAACACTGCATACGTGGCTGTGGAGGGCGCAAAAAAGCAGGCTGCTGAGGCAGATCCTGGGGTTGGGGTAATCAGGGTCAAAGATCCAGAAGAGATATCCAGATTGGAAGACCCATTTGCGAAGGCAGAGAAGAAAGTCGTGGATAAGACGGAGGCAAAGCAGGGAGCAGAGAGAATAGCGGAATTGCAGGGACTTAGCGACCGACAGTGGCAGGATCCTTATGAGTATTCGCGCAAAATGAGGAAGATATTTAGAGTATACACTCCTCCTCTCGAGAATTCTAGCACACGGGCATTCTTGGGGGATGTTTTGCTAAAAGTCGATTATTTTGCTTCCCAAGGCAGAAAGAAAGGAACTTCAAGAAAAATCAGCTGCGACCGAGGCTATCCGGGAACGCGCTGGTCTGGCAATCGAGCTATTAGACGAAATACCGGAAGATGCGCAAAAGGCAAAATTGATTGAATTCGGGCCGGATTATAGCCAAAAAATTGACCAGGCACACTCAAAGCCCTTGTTCCCAGTTCCTGAACCGGTAAAAAGGATTCTTGGACAAAGTTCGACAGGAAAGACAAAGGCTCAAACAGCAGCGGATACGACTCGGGAGAGATTACAAACCCAACTAAGACAAAACACGAGAGCGAGAGTGGATCCTTTCCTTCATTCAGTCCTTGATAAGACAAGGCCAAGTCTAAATCTCAAACTTTTGAAAAGAAAGCAGGCAGACAATAACAGCATGGTAGAGGACGAAACCGAACGATTTCCGGATGCCACGACGGAGAAAGCATCGATTTTGAACAGTGTAGGGTCTGTTCGGCCAGGAGTATCTCTGGGCTTGGATGGATACGAGTCAGAATAAGACTGCTATTGAGATACCAGATATTGACCGCATTATATTATGGTTCCATTTCTTTGCCTCGAGCCAGGCCTACTTTAATCGAGAACATTAATTCATCAAATGGTGCATTTGGCATCATAATATTAGGGAGTTTTTTTCTCCCGAGTCAATTAATTCACCCTCAATTAATTGGGAAGGGGGAAATATCATTCAACTATACAGCATTGTCGGTTGATTATGTTTGTTGTTCGTTTCTCTCTCTACTCAGACTTGACCTTGTCCGGACCTGACCTTGATCAGACCCGCAAGTGCTAAAGATCAGAGCAAGGTTTAATTTTACAAATGACTCTGGTCATAGTGGTTTATGGGATGATGCACTGGTGATTTGGAGTTTATTTTTTTTTGTTAATTGGGATTGGTCCTAATCTCTATCTTGAGTTGTTTCACTCCGAGAAAAAATATGCGTAGTAAACATGTAATAAGCTTAGGACCTGATTGGTGAGTTTATAGTAACACCAAGTACATGTAGTTACCAAGGATGCTGTCTCGTTTGATCTCCACACACACACACACACACACACACACACACACACACACACACACATATCATAATCTATGGACATGGTGAAGTATTCGCTCGATAACACATGAATGTTGCTTTTTGGACCAACTTAGCATACATAGGATGTTCTTCCCGGATCCGTACAGTAGGTGGGGTGGCATGTGAAAAAATAATCCCGTTTTATCTTTTTCGTTTCGAGATGGAATGTCGGACGGGGCGAGACCGCGGGGAGGTATGAGTACTCAGCTGGTTGAGTATGAGATAATAAAGCTGGCAGAGATAACCTATATTATCCTCATATCATACCCATACATACAAAAATCCCCGCGGGTTGTGTAACCTCAAGAACGTCCGAATCTTTTGCCTTCTATAGTACTACTCAACGGCTGGTGATACCTGATTCGATGGAAGCCTTTTTCCCGAGAAGGAAGCCCCTTAAAATCGCATTTATGTTTATGTTTGAGCCTTGGACGGAGTCGCCATTGGAATCGAACTAATGCCAAAATATGTGGGGTTGAGAAAGTGAGATCTTGTGGATCCATGCTGGCCATGGTTTCATAGGGTTGTACTCTAAGGTTTCAATGAGTAAGAACCCGTCAATGTCCTACCAACAGCTGGATAGATACGCCATCCCAATGGGCGAATGGATAAACCCCTAACAACCGAGGATGGATGTGCTAAAGATCCCTCTGGTCATAAACCACTCATTTAAGCAAGATTCGGGGTTAACCAGGACAGAGCATGTAAAGTATGTACCCGTGGGATACAGCTTCTTCGGTTTCTCGCATATGCTGACCTCGGGAAATAAGCATCACTGGTGTAATTGTTGCATCAGCAAGCACGCCAATCAATGAATCAGGACGCTAATGATGACTTCAGCAGGATTTCTGCTCGCTGTATGTAAGTAAAAGTAGCTTCCCTAAAATCACAGGAAAAGATATCGAGGTGCAGCCCCCTTACTCTGGGGTACCAGCCAGCACGCAAGCCAGCAGGCATCATCGCATATGTAACCTGACCATACTTGGGCAATCCTCTTGCGCCATCAGATGAATTTCCAACCGATCACCGGAAGTTCCCAGCGTATCAGACGTGATGGGCGTTGTCTGTTGTTGTTTTTGTGGGGTAGAGAGACGTTTCCCGATGATCATCGTGGGTCCCAGCGTCGCTTATGTACCCGAATTAGCAACATCTCAACGGCCTTCCTCGTCGCTCGATGATGCAATAATTCAGGTACGCGAGACCTTCAACGATACGTCGCATTACTTAACTTCCTGGTTTTCTGGGGACGAAAAAAAATTTCCACCCGTGACTACCGTTCTCGTGGCTTGCATCACATCACCACACAGGAAGTGGCCAAGACTGCAAAATGAAGACTAGGGGTGAATGATTTTTTTCGGGAGAGATCTACGGATATGGCAAAGGTTAGTAACATGCACAGATTCTAGAAGACCCTGTGAGTTATTTTGCCCCACAGTCATAGCGATGCTCTAGTGACTAAGGCCACGGAATAACCCTGGTGGCAGGTCGCCGAATGATGCGCTGCTAGTTCGGAGGCGGGCTAATGGAGGTCTCTGAGACCCCTGGGAGACGTTGCGGAAACACTCGGGGGAAGCACAACGCGTTCTCTCGGGAACCTCCCCGGTGATCAACCAGAAAAACTTTCATGATCCACCTCCTGAGCCTTCCGAGAAATGAATGTACGACAGCATATCCTTACCAATTTACATAAATTGATTGGCTAGTTGGCTGTAGGCTATTCACGAGTGTGTAACTCATATAAATTCTCTAATAGTGGATACAGTGTCATACTTTACATACATACCGGATATCCGCCGTCTCCGGTGGTCATGGTAAAAGTGACCGAATCTCGAAAACCTCAAACACATCACTCACCACCACCACCACTTCCTGCGGTCACCATTCTAAGGAAGACATCCCTAGCTCACAATTCCCATTTAGATACATGGAACGAAATCATCAGAGCTACATAAGTATACGGTATCATTATTCAAGCTGATAGTTTTGCGATCATTACCATGTACACCTGTCGAGGTTTTGATTGTGATAGAAACCGGGGACACCTCACACAGGGAGCTGGCATTTCGTTGGTGCTGGGCGGTGCTTGTTCTTTTGTTTAGGTGAATACAGATCCAACGTTGAATGGACGGCGTTGTTATCTAACCAGTTCTGGAACCAGCAGCATAATTGTTTTTTGGGCCACTGCGTCGCGGTTTTAAATTTACTGAGTTACAATTTTTTTGTTTGACGCAGTGGTTAAAACTACCTTATTCACCCCTTGCTCAAGAGACTCGAGAGGTCTCGGGGCTGGGAAGACACAGCACCATTAGGTATACTCTACATTGCATATTGAGCTCTATGACTAAATAGGTGTCAATGATAATATTAGAGATTTTCTTGAGTCTCGACTTAAAATTTGATCACGAGAGAAACCAACGCTGATCTATCACCCTTGCAGCTTTCCCCGGAGTGAGCATCTTATATTTTGTGGGGTTAGCTCACGGGCAGGTCCCCTATCAGAGATCATCTTCCCCACACAGATTTCCCATATGCTATATAGAGAGATTTGAATTGTGATAGTCCTCATCCGCGTCATCATTACAGCGAATCTCTATTTTGCTTGAAGCAAAATAGTGTTTCCTGGGTGTTGGGACCTTTTATATCATGGGTTGCGGTTCTGCGGGCAGAAATTCCCTGAGTTGCACTGATCTACGTTGAAACAAAATAGAGTATGGAATCCTTACTGCAAGGGTCTTTTGCCCTTCCCGGCGAATCGGGGAGCCACGAAAAAGGCACTACCTACTAGGGTGGCAGAGCCTCGTGCACTTCTCCTTCTGGAAGCACGAAGAAGCTCAACAACAACCACCTGACTGATGAATTGTTTGCCGTTATATTTGATTCATCATCATCCGAAGTCGACTCCTTCACCGCACCCTGATTGCCACCATTAGACCACCCCTACCACCGGTCACGCAAGCATAGATAGTAAGACACTTCATGACGGCAGTAATTCTGGAAATGGAAGGGCATTTATTCTTAGGGTAACCGGAAAACGAGGGGAAATATCCGGGGACAGCAAGGCAACCCAAGCGAGAACGGGGAATAGGTATGTCTGTGAATAGCGGTGGGAAACAAAGAGGGTGTGGCGGGATGAGCTCTGGATGAATACAATCTCTGGACTCACTCTAAAGACGTGCACACCTTGGTGTGGTGGTGGTTTTCAAGTGCCAGCGAACACGTCATTCAAATTAGAGCCTCTCAGGCAGATTTGTGAGCAAGAGGAATATGTGACGGGGCCAGAGGAAACGGAATAGGAGAGGGGTAGAGGCATGAAGATGTATGTATGTAGAGGGGAAATATAATAATTACACACCAGAAAGAGGGGTCTAGATAATTCTGTAGTTATCTTTTTACGCACGCCTCTAAAAGCCTCTTTCAGGGTCTTTGAAGGTCCTTGAAACCGCTTCTAGTGTTGCGGGGAATGTGTTTTTTGGGAGGCGTCACTGGTTGCACAATCATCAAAACTACATTCTCGACTTCTGCCGGAGGGCACCGACGTCCTTTTAAAAAATAAAGGAAAGATGGAGTGAGTTTCAATTTCTAAAGACGTTTCCAACGCCGAAAAGGAAACATCCTGTTTCTGATATCCTTCTTTGGCACTCTCCATATGTTGTGCCCCTGCAAAGCTATTGTGGTTGCGGTTTTGATAGTGGGGCTTTCATATGCCCCTCCTTCCTTCCCCGCTTAGATACTTGTCAACATCCATAAGGTAATCTTCCGTAGTTATTGATAGCGACAACAAGCATCAACACCTTCAACACCACTTCAACCAAATTTAATTCATCCACCTCTAAACATCCCGAATACACCTCAGCTTATTCGACCCTAGCATGGCTGCCTCCCCGCTTGCTTCTGCAAATCTACTGCGTAGGCAGCTCAAGGGGATGCAGTCCGACAAGGACCTCTCCAATATCAGTGTCGGGCTTGTCGAAGATAATATCTACGAGTGGGAGGTTATGCTTATGATATCTGACGACTGCAAGTTCTACGGAGGTGCGCCTCTCTCAACATCTCGGCCTCAACAGGGGACTTTATACCTGACGAGAATTGTGGTTAGGTGGTTTCTTCCGGGCACGTCTGTCTTTCCCCGTGGACTATCCGCACAATCCCCCCAATATGAAATTCGAAACGCCAATTTGGCATCCAAACAGTACGTCTGTTAGAAATCTAGAACCTGCACCTCTTATATATATATTGACTGGCTCTGACACCACCATTGTTAGTTTATCCGGACGGCAACGTCTGCATCTCTATCCTCCACCCCCCTGAAGAAGACCAGTAAACATCACCCTTGCTTTCCATTTCAACCCCTCCATTGACTTTCAAAACCCTCAATCCTCTCTCGTTCGTGACTACGTAAAATGATACCACATGGTATACTAATGGCGTTCGTTCTTCGTGATTGCTACCTTGCAGATATGGATATGAGTCGGCCGCAGAACGTTGGCTTCCCGTACACACACCAGAGACAATATTGATATCAGTCATTTCCATGCTAAGTTCCCCTAATGACGAGAGTCCCGCCAACTTGGTAGGTGAAGCCCTTCTGTAAATTTTAAAGAAGAAACAAAACAACACAAAACAAAAATGAATTGGCCCAATGAGGGACCAATGCATTGACCAGGTCGTAAACAATCATCACTGACGTCTTTCCACAGGAGGCAGCGAAGCAGTGGCGCGATGATCCCGCCGAGTTTAAGAAAAAGACGAGAAAATGCGTCAGGGATAGTCTAGAATGGTGAAGAAAAGCAATTGTTCTCTTTTCGAGAATGATAAAAAAATGACAAATATAATTTTCTGTCCCGTTGTATGTCTGAACAGGAAGGGGTGGTTGGTTGCTGAAGGACCGGCTGGAAGGCCGGTACTTTTCTGGTTGGTTGTGTGGTTGGTTGGGTTGGAGGGGCCTGGTCAGGTCAGGTTCTCTTGTGTATGTACTAGTACGATACAAAAATTTCCTTTCTCTTTTGCCAATAGTTTTGCGAATGATACCTGATTCATATTTTTGCGATATGATACTCGACGGGTACCTGTACCCCGTGAGCCTATTTATCTGGTTTTTAAGCCCGCATGGCCTCCCTCCACCCCTACTATCAAAAAGTCCTACTGGCCGTGGCTGCTTTTTTTCCGTATCTGCCAAGAGCACAACCAATGCAAGTGAAGGACTCCGACACCTCCTCCGCATCGGTCTGCCCGGCTGTCTGCTGCAAGGTAATAACAATGCGCACGTAAGGCGGAGTCACTGCCCACGGCCAATTCAGTGCTGTGGTCCTATGGAGGCATAGCCGATGGCGGAGAGACTACCTTTACTTGTGGAGTCCCATGCGAAAGGGTCATGTGTTCAGCCGAAGTAAAAATCAATTCTCTCTTTTTTTTCTTTTCGTTTTTTTAATTCCCAGACAAGGTTATTTTTTCTCTAGACAAGGTTATTTGCCCCAATCAGCTTCTTTCCTTTTTGTAACTACTTACAATCTCGGATGCCTGTGCACACTCAATAACGGAGACTGAAAAAGAATATATATATCTCAAAAGTTGAATCTGGCCCGATTAGGGTCGCAAATTCCTAAAACTACAATAGACAATAGAATACCACACACAAAAAAGGTTTTTTTTTCCTCGCTCGACCAAGCGAATCCAACCGGCCAGACTCCGAAAGTAAAGAAACAAGATAAATGACGCCTGGCCTTTAAAAGGCATTCTGACAAAGGGAAAGGAAAGAAAAAGCACACCGGCACACAAGAAGAAGAAAGTAACCGAATACACCGATATGCCATAGAACAAGACGCCCCGTGAGGTAAAGAAAAGTTACATAGGAAAAAAAACCATAGAGAAAAAAACAGAGGACCACCTTTCACCGTAACATGAACCAAATAATGCCACACCACCAACCACTCTTCATACCGAAAGAAAACCCTTCATTAAGCCGTAAAATGTTGAGGATGAATGATGATATGTCGAAATATGATACTGAATATACTGCCGATCCACCCAAATGATATTTATACAAATGCAACCAATCTAATCGTACCAATCCCATTACCACCCAGCTACATGGTATTCATGCAGCCCCTGATCGAAATAATGATTCCATGAGTTATTCTTGGAAGCATTGCCCTTGGAGGCACTGGCTTTTGTGGAGGAAGCTGCCTTGCTAGAGTATTCGTTGACCTGAGGGAAGTCATTCAACTTCGTGACGTCGTGTGCGGTGTGTCGTCGTTTAAGAACAGCAGCTGCAGTGGTGTTCTTTTGCTGCCTCTCCCAAAGAAGATGTCTTCGGAGAGACTCAGTCAACTCAGTGGCAAGCATGTTTCTGCGGGTAGTGCGGGGTGAAAGGGCAGGGGGATGCATATTGCTGGTTGTCATGATGATTGGCTTTGCGCGGGTAATCTCGGCGGTTGGCTTGGCGGTGAGAGGGGATTCTCGCTGGAGTGAAGGAGCAAGAGATGGGCCGGAAGGTGAAGTAGTCCTTGACCTTAAAGCTGGGGTAGATCGAGATCCAGCATTGGCAAGAGCTGCTGCCCGTTTTGGCTCGTGAAGCATGGTAGAAAGGAGAGAACGCCTGGAAGTCAACATCTGTCGGCTCTCAACTCGCTGGAACATTGTATCCGGGTTGTAGCTCGAGTGAGCACTGTCGTCTGTGGATGATTCCCAGTCTGATGAATCTTCATCAACGGCGCTCTCAGAGATCACTTCCTCATCCTCGGTGTAAACATCGTCATCTTTGAACGTTCTTGTGGCAACCTCATGTCTAAAAGATGTCCTCTTCCCTGATGTTCTCTTCAATCCCTCAGAAAGCTTACTCTTTCGCATTGGTGGGCCCTGTGTGAAGCTGTCCTCAGAGTCGCTCTCATCATCATAAGCAGATGAGTTTGATGAGCCAATGAAGAACATCTTTGCGGCCTTCTTGGGTGCTGGTGACATCTTCTTGGCAGGAGCAGCTGGTTCGGAAGGCAAGCATGCATTTGAGCGATTTGAGCGAATTGATACTGAGATATTCTGACCAGGTGTGAATCCACGAACAACGCTGTGAGCGCTAACGCTCGTTGAATATGAACATGCAGATCCCACAGGTGTTGAATGGGCTGCGGGAAGAGCAGGTGAGCACATTGATTGCTCGGGCATTGTCTCCTGTGCGGCCTCTTCCACTTCCGTAGAAGCGACGAGAGGACGCTTTGAAATCCAATCATCGGCGCTAGACTTGCTCTTGTCCAGATCTTCCATCAATTTCACCAAACAAACTGGTGTCATATGCTTTTCCTTGCCTCGGTAGCGCTCAGCTGAGTCGGTTCGCAATAAGCATGATCTTGATGACTTGATGTTGACAGCATCTGATCGCAGCTCATAATCTGATGCAGCTGACTCGACACTTGATGAAAGCTCTGGAACATCTGAGTATGTGTCGGAATCCTGTCGTCTGGGCTTTCGTGGAATTGTTGCGGTGGGAGCAGCAGTGGCGGCTGGCTTGATTGGTGCAACTGTCACAGCGGTTTCCTCACAGCAAAAAGTCTCCCGATTCCACACCCTCCAACTCAGATTCTCTAGCCTCCTCCCATTCTCCAATGACTCAGCACATTTTGAAAAAACTAGAGAGAAAAAACCATTGTCAGCACACTTTGACACTGAAAAGCGAGGAAAGGTGGCAGTTTTCTGTAAACTCACTTGTCCACATGCTGAAAAGATTATCTACATTTCTGGGATCGACCTTGGCGATGTGGTTAATGTCCAAAGACAACATAGGGCTGGATAGTCGCGAAGGCATCTTCGCGGGTTGTACTATGTCGTTATATGGTGGATGTTGGTATTTATGTTTGAGGGGAAGTGGTCGATGACAGTTGACCGATAGATGATGATGGTTGTTGTTTTGTTGACTAGTGGGTCTAGATGGTTGCTAGTGTATTGGTAGTGCGGGATCGACTTCCTTTATGTTGTCGTTGGGGGGTAATGATGGATATATATGTTCAGATTGAAGTGGTGTTCCAACGACTGTACTGTTCCAACGACTTTGATGTTCAGAATGTCGAGAAGCAGAAGGGCACAGGTAGGGGGGGATAGCAATGGCTAAGTAGCAGAGGCCGTTTAAGTTTTTGGGGGGAACGGATGCGAGGGGGGTTAATTATTAGGTAGGTGTCGGTTGGGGTGGTCCAGCACCAGCCTGGGCTGGGGTGTGTGTGGGACTCTGTGTGGGACTCTGTGTGGATACATTAGTTCTATGGGTTACGGTTGTTAGTAGGTGCTGGGGGAGGGATCGGATGGGGTGTGGGACTGAGCGAAAGACACAGGGTGAGCGAGCAAGCGTGGAAAGATGTGGGTCAGGCCTGAGACACCACTGGTACTGGGGCTTACCCGTCGGGCTCCCCTCGGGAGATTGGGGGCATTTGGGCTTAAGGTCAGCCAAAGAGAGGAAGGAAGGGGGGGGGGGGGGGTGCGGTTACTTGGACAAAGGACAAGAGTTTTTTTCCTTCCTTATTTTTCCTGATTTTTTTTTTTTTTTTTTTCGACCTTTGCCCTGTCTGGATGACATGCGCGGCAATGGTGAACTTTTTGAGGTGAGCCCACTCTAGATATGTACATACTGTAACATACATGAAGTCCTCATCGCTGACTTGAAATCTCCATAGAACAAAGTCCCATGCAGAAACCTACATGTGTCCCAATGCACGCAGTTATCTAAATGAAAATAGCATTTGGATGAATGGGGAAGCCAAAGGAAGGGAAAAAAGATTGTAATGGGAATATATTCGTCCCCCATACTCCGTGCCTCCCCTTCTGTTCTTTTTGCTCACCCATCATGGCGAAAAGGCGCAAATGAAAATGGAACCATATCATGGGGGGAGGTTGGTTGGCCGGATTCCTAACTTGTTTTCAGACTTCAGACTCAACGCAAGGAGTCGTTCTCGTCTACTCTGTGGGGGTTTCTCTGTGTCCGGACTCTTGTCCACTAAAAACTCTTTTCACTGCTCGAAACAAATTTCTCCAAACAAAAAACAAAAAAAACTCAAGTCACGTTCACCTTGAATCCCAATGAATTCGTTTTTCAAATTATCACACTTTATATTTTTCCTCGCCCCTTGTCTCTAATGATGCCTGGAATGCCCCGACAGACGACACCGCCTCCGCTGACCCACCAAGGTCTTACACCTTTACTCCCTCACCCTCAGTAAGTATCATACACATACATACTTACGTATAACTCAACCTACTTCCATGTTGTAAATTGGCCGGATAAAAGATGTGGGGTATGATACTTGCTTGTCTCGCTCTCGAGCCCATCAAAACCCTACCTTTTATCCAGAGTATGATGAGCAGCGAAGCCTGGCACTGGACAGAGGACCTGATGCCGGGCTAATGGAACGCAGTGTAGGCCTTTCACCTGACACGGACGCAAACGAGGCAACAAGCAAGTACATCCTCCATACTCTCTCTACCACCGCCCTTGCGCTGCGACCGTAACAGATCGCTGGGATAGCATCCCATGCCATGCTGTTCCCCCAATTGGCCTTTTCTCCCATCATCATTATCCAATCCACCATCGCCCCCCCCCCCCCCAGTCATCCACTTCTTCTCAACCCTTAGTCCTGCCACATTGGGCATTCCCCATCTCGGCACTTTCTCCTGCTTCAAGCTTCCTGAATGTTTGTACTCTGAATAGCAATGGGTTTCGGAATTGCTCCCTGGACCCGGAATTCAATATCACGACCTTCCAAGAGCCGTTCATTTAAAGGGTGACTGTATCGTTAAAACAAACAATAATAATAGTAATATCTCATTAATCTAGCGACAGAATACGAAAGCCCGGTCAAGTGTTGTATCGAATTCCCGAAATTCCCATTGTTATCGTTTTGAGTGGATGTATGTACTCATGTGGACGTTTCGCAATATTGGACACACACACGCGCACCTGTCAAAGAAACAGCAGCCACCTTAAATTCTTCAATTCCGTGATATACATATCAAAGGCAAAAGATCGCGAGGGAAACATCCATCTTATTGACTTTATTTTCTTTTTCTTTGTTTGAAATAACTATACTATGGGGCTTTAGATCACCTTCTGACAAAGTGGAAACGTCAGACATAAAAAGAAGCTCTCCACAGATTCGACATAAACACGATCAGCTGGCTGACCATCGATTCGCCCGCGCATTAAATCCTCGATTTCCCCACAATCACATCTATCATTCGCTTCGATGAATATCCCTTTTCTAAATAAATAAAAAAAAAAAAAAAACCCAATTTCTGTTTCGTCCCCTCCCCAGAAACTGTACCTATGACTGCGCAGTAGCGAAGAAGAAGGTCCCTGTTGGGGTGAGAAGCGCCAGCTGGCCACCCTAGACCACGTGCAGCCTATTCAGGGCGCAACGGTATTATCTAGTCCCAAAGAGGACGAGCTGCCCATCCTTTCGCGATCGGCTGCTTCCGCCACAGAAGGTCTCGCTGGTTGTTCGTTCACACACTACGCTCCTCCGGCCGGCAGCGAATTTTCCGACCAAAAATAAACCACACCAGCGCATATCTCTAGAGTACGGAGTCTACATACCCTAGACTACGTACCCAGCTGTAAGCTGTAGCTGTATGTACGCTCTAAAGGATCAAAAAGAGCTTCCTCAACCACCACCCCCTTAAGCTTCATCTTGTGAATGTAGGTAAATACCTATCTTATCTATTATTTGCTCCCCATAAAGAGGGAAGCAGAAGCGTGTGGGAGCGATCAACGGCCGAGAACGCTCATACCACCCAGCTACTTCTACTATCAGAGCAGGTGGCGGTTTCAACTACGAGGACAGCAGCAGCAGCAGCAGCACCAGAAGCAACACTGCCTCCGTGACTGACTGAATGACTGACTCTGCCATTGAATATTGGCCTATCTTTTGCTAGTAAGTAATGCTAATATGCTAACTGATCTGGAGAAGGTAAGGTAAGGTTCTTGTGTTCGACAGTCATCCGTCAGCGTTACTCCGAATCTGCTTACCGAACATGCGGTAGTTCGTGACCAGCTGGACTAGGAAAAATAAACTACCGTTCTTGTCGTCGCCGCCGCCGTCACCAGCGTATTATCACATACCAACTGCAACGTTGCACGTAATACTGCTTCTTCTTTCCTCACCTTGAACAGGTTCCACCTTTGTCATGAGGATCAAAATAATATCAGAATATTACAGATGAATTCCCAAGAGGATGGATCCATGGGATGTATGGTACATACGTAGGTATGGAGGGGAAGGGGGCGCGGACAAATTATTGCAGAGGGTTCGTCTCGTCATCTGTGGGAGTATGGGTACGTGTGGGATGGTTACCCATCACACATCTGCTGTTCTCGCTTGTTAGTTACCTGCCCTGCTTGCGCAAAAAAAAAAAAAAAAGGGTTTCCTTGTCGAAGAAAAACCAAAAACCAGCCCTGAACTTGAAGAAGGGGTGGAAGATGAAGCTAGGTATTTGTTGGCGCTCGAACCTGATCACGTTCTGTGTACGCTATGTCCCAACTCTTCGTTAGTTGCCCCACGCGTGACAGACACCGACCATTACCGCGGGGGTTGTCCGGTGTTCGAGCCGTTGATCCGCCGGTGGTGGTTGAGGTGATTGTGGTGGTGGTGGCTCAACGACCCTCGAAAAAAAGACCCTTGGAGCTTCGAGAGCGAAGGTCCCTCCGACATTTCCCGGGATCGCTGCTGCGCGGCGTTCACTGGTGCAGTAGCGGTGGCTCACTTTTGAGTTGCTTTTTTTATTTTCAGCCTCTTTACCCCACTGCCCGCTAGGCTAAATTGGCAGCTGGGATGGGTAAGGGGATCTCATGTCAAGTCAGCAAGCAAGCAAAACATGGGTTGTTGATGCTTGGCCCTGCTGGCCTTGGCAGCTGGATTACTAGTGCTTGTTACAATTTGGCTTGGTGGTCAGGTGAAGGACGTCCATGGGAAATGCCCACGTTTTGCGAACCGGGGTTCACTTTCGCGGGGAAAGCAAAGGGAAACCCTACGAGTAGAAAGCTACCACCACCACCACAACTGCAACTGGCACCTCCTCATCCTTGGCCTCCCTGGATGAGGGATGTTTTAAATCGTTTGTCTCGTTTTGCTGAGACGACAGAGAGAGGAAGGTCGCCAAGGGTGGTGGTGGTGGCTTGGTTTGCTTTTTCGCAACCATGGTATGATACCACTCTCTCTCGTCTTTCGACTCCTCGAGGAACACTTCAATGTCACCACGTGAGCATGTTTCCTTTGCTTTGTGTGGACAGAGGGCCGGCGCCGTAAAGTAAGTTTTTCTGCTAGGTTACTGTGTGTACGTTCTGAGACCCCGTTCCTCGGTCATATGGGAGGGGGGGAGGGATCTCTGGGTAGGTTGTATGTTTGTTTCGATCGCTCCCTCCCTATCTCGCTCCACAAGTGCCGAAGTAGGCATGTATGTAAGCCTGTACAGTGACGTTCTTCCACAGCGCCTCAACGTCTCACTGCCGCAAAGGACACAGAGGGAAAAAAAGGGTCTCTTTTAATTATTTGTTTTTTTTATCTTTTTTTATTTTGCTGGCCTCATCATAATCACAGTCACAACACCATCCCTTCCTTCCTTCAACGGGGGTGGAGAGGGTGGAGAGGGCTTCTCGGAGACTTTACTGCCTAGAGAGGGCTGTCTGGGCTGGGCTGGTTTCAAGAAGAGGAGAAGGAGAATGGAAGAATTGAGTAACTCCTCCTCGTCAATTCACTCTCTCCGGACGCGAGTGTATATTGCAATTAGGTGGCCAGAAACCCATTGACCTGGTCACTCCTTCTC